ATGATGTGGCAACAGTGGACTGAGGTGTTAAGTTGAAGATCAAGTGGCATTTCTGTTCATGAGGTAATTAAGTTGCATCGCGGTCTATAAAAAGGTACATGCCGTATTTTCTCTTCCCATGAATCCTGTCTCCTAAGAAATAAATCACTGAATGAAGAAGTCTTTGCTTTCATAAGTTCTAACTCCACACTTGGAAACTAAACCTTATGTTTACAGATTTCTATCCAACATCATAATGAATATGATTTCCTCTTAAGACTACTAGTAACAGTTTAAGACAATTACCTTGGTCATAAAGGGGGAAACACCCCCTGAGAATCTAGCCCACTTTTATTAATAATGGATTCTCAGTCTCCCACTGAGAAATCTGACATAGCAAGGCTACCAAACAAGTGGCTGGCAGTGTCGCATCTGCCCAGACAACATTATCAACACATATACTTCTTTTGAAATGGGACCAAGGGGCTCTAGCACAGGTAAATTAAGGTGATGAGTAAAAAACCAGGTTCAATGACAAAGCAGGAGGACAAGGCAACAAATAACGGATGGAAATTGCATTCCATGACCACAGAATTAAAACATCTAAACAAGCAGACTTGCTGGGAGAAATTATTTGGGGTCACCAGGAGCGAGGAAATGGAACAGATGGAAACAGACTGGAATGTCTTTTCTGTTTAAATGTTTGTTTTATTTTTTTCCAAGTCTGATCTATTACACAGAGTAACACACTGATTCTCAGGAACCAAGTCTCAGTCACTAAATTGACTAACAGACTTGGCATCCATAAGAATCTATTAAATAAATATGTTTAGCCTTGATCGAGGGCCCAGTTAGAAAAAATCGGGTCATTTTCTCCAAAGCCTGGCCAGTCTCTGCTTCACTGGTACAAGAAAAGTGGATTTCACGGTGCTAGACAAAGCTGCCCCTTGGCTGCATTGATCTCTAAAGCTTCACCAAGTTTGTGAAGCAAAACGTGCCTTTTGATGGGTGTGAATGGTCCTTCTGTGGTCAGCTGTGGAACTTATTAGGTCTTTTACAGCTATCTTCACTTTTCACTTTACATAGCAAAAAGTATCACGTTAGCCTAGAGTAACAGCGGCTACTCACCCCCACTCCCAGAAGAGCCAAAAATAAGCCTGCACACCTCTTATTTCTGACAGAAAGGATGATTATAGAAATCTGCCTAACCTCACTTAAGAAAATAGGTTAAACTTACGCCATTAAAAATCTCGTGAGAATTTCATTAAAATCATAGAGAAGCTCATCACAAACGCACACACGAAAATGACGGCACTTCCCTCTTCCACGTATTTTACTACCTTGGGGAATAACAGATGGGCTAATCCAGGAGCATATGTAAAATATTTATGAAAGGCAAAGTAATTGAGATGGTAAACTCATAAAACAGTAATTTCCTCTGCTATATTCAGCAGCATGTACCAAAACGGGAATATTTTTTTACATAATAAAAAATGCACTGGCAAAAGCTACAGATGAAACAGAAATAGAGAAGCAGAAAAATACAAGTTACAATCCCCTTCAATACACTAAAAACTGTTTAGGGGAAAAAAATAACTGCAGAGTCTTGTGGGGCTTTTTGCCGTTGTTATTCTTTGCAAGAAGACCTTGAATTTGCATTGTCTTCCCCTCAAAGAGTTTAGACATCCTAACATAGGGTGTTCCCTTTAATGTCCCTACAAAGCAGGTAGGTTATTCCAGGTTACTCTGTAACCTTCCATAATGATGTCCACAGGGCGTTTAGTAGAAGATTATGTGACATTAATAAGCTTGAGGATCTTCTATGTGGCTCTCTGGGCAGCCCGTGTACTTCTTACCTACATGGTCAAAATATACCCAATTTTTAAGAACTTCGAATGCAGTCAGCAAGCAAATCACAAGTGCACACTTAAGAACAGAATTACACTAAATTCCAGAATAGTGTGGGGAACATCGCAGTAGGTTTCTGACACCATCTTTAAAAGTGCAGGTAGAGAGGGGATTAGACTAGTTCAAGGTCGACAGCAAGGAGCATTAACACACTAATCCCTGGTTCTCCTAGACGTACCCCCATGACACATCATTCCTCTTCAACCTCTGAAAATGAAAAACCTGCACAGAAATAATAAAACCTGATCCTGGAAAAGATGAAGAGCTTAGTCCAAATGTCAAAGGCAGCATGCCTGCTAGGGGATGCTCACAGCCCCAGCCAGTTCTTTGCAGACGTGGGTGATGGTCGAAGCCACCATGTGGCTTGAGAAGCAGAAAGGCCAACCTGCTCCAAAATGAGGCCGCCGAAAGGCCTCACATTTGCTGGTCATTTCTTCAGGATAATAGATTATTTCTTTCTTTAAACTTCTTGGTTCCCCCATTCTTTGAAAGGCAACCATTCACACAATCGTTCAGAAAATATTTATACTGTGTCTATTCCATGACCAGCAATAGGGATAAAATAGTGAAAAAGACAAGCAGAGCCCCAGCGTACTTTCTAGTCAAGAGTATAAGACGTAAGACACTAAGAAAAAAAAAAAAAAGGCAAGGAAAAAACTCAGCTTTAAAATGGGATAACGTGACAGAGAGAAACTGGCTGGTTACCTCAGACTAGGTGGCCTGATGACAGCCTTTTTCAGAGGGTGACATTTCACACGTGGATGACAGGAAGGAGCCAGATATGTGATTAAGAGAGGGAAGAACATTCCTGGCAGAGGCAACAGCTATTACAAAAGGTCAGAAACTGAGAAATAGGTATTCTGTGTTTGAGAACAAAAGCAAAAAAAGCGTAGGGGCGGGAGCACAGAATTAGGTGAATTCAGAAAGATAGGCATGGTCTGAATCGTGCTGGGATTTATAAACCACAGTAAGGAGAGCACAAAGAGAAGCCACAGGAGGTGTGTAGGTAGGTGACTTCCATTTAAAACTACTCTGGCTACTGTATAGAGAAAGCATTGCCGGGAAGCAAGGGTGGACACGGAGACCCCAGTAGTGCAGCTATTCCAGTGGCCAAGAGAGAGGGAATGCTGGCCTGGACCGGGGCGCTGGATGCAGAGACAGAAGTAGTTGGGAGATGGAGCCTGAGTTGATTGGACTTGAGCATGGGTTTGACACGCAAGGAGAGACAAAAAAGGAAAGCAGCTTAAATGTTACACTTTCGGTTTGGATAACTAGCCAGATGGTGAGACCATTCACTGAGGAAAGGAAGACTAAATGGGGACAGGTTAGGGAATCAAAAGTCATGTGTTGGCCACTTGATTTTGAAATGCCTATTAAACAGCCACATGGAGATGCCAAGCAGACAGGTGGTTACAAGGAAGCTGCAGAGAATGCACATATTGAATGGCCAGAAGCACTCTTGTTTGGACTCCGTTTCACCTTGTTCTTTCTCTTGCCTTACCTAGCTTTGATGAAGCAAGAATTAGATAAAGTATACTAAGAAGCTTTGCAAAGAATAAATTAATGCCCTCGCATTTGGAATTATTATCACTATCACCTTCCATCCAGCATTTATCTGGCACACATTATGTCTTCATTGTAGAAGTTTCGGGAAATGTGGATTATGCCGTCCCTGTCCCCCAAGATACTGCAGCTTTTAGTGGGCTCATACTGTAAAAGAAACTGAACCTCATTCTAAAAATGATAAAAGGAAAAAAATCTCCAAAAGCGTTACCATGTCACATGACTCCACTGTAACCTTAGGCAGCCACACAGACTTGACTTCTTCTCACAAACCTAGACAAGTAATCAGTGCAAAACTGAGAGGCTGGAGTTTCCCTAGTTGGGGCGGTGTCTGCTGAAAGACTTCAGTGTCCCAAAGATGGTGAATGTTCCCCCACTTAATGCCACATAGTATCAAATTTCATACTTAGTTTTTCCTTCGTGTTTAAAGAAATTCCTATGAAAAATGCAATTTCATCGAGCAAGGATATTTCCGCTAGGATAGTGAACATGAACACTTTAGCATGACATGAAATTAGTTTATCTGATTATTAACCAAGAGCTATGCCCTTGAAGAATGGGACAGCTGACTGGGCAGCTTGACCTGAGCTGTGGTCAGGTAGCCAAGTGGGTCAGCTCCTCACAGGCAGAGTGCGTCCAGATGGACAGGTCAAGCGATGGGACGTCATCAGCTCCAAAAGGTAATGTGAGGCCGTCGCTAACTGATTCTCTTGGCCATACAGTTTCATCCTATGGAGGATGGGGCTCCTTGCTTTTGTTCTCATTCAGTAAAAGGAAAGAGCTTTCAGGGCAAAACAGGTATCACCTAACTGTCCCTAGATTTCTCACAAAAACAAAACTTTTGTTTAAAACAAGTTCGGAGCTAGGAATTTTATCTAGGAAAACGACAAGCCATAAAAAGAATGAATATACATATCCGTATTATACTCACACCCTGACACTGTCATCACTATTGTCACTAACAAGAGCATCATCCCTTTGGAATGTCTTCCTGTCTGCAAACTATTATGAAATTGAAGTTCTTAGCACCACAGCCCTCACTAGAATTTTCACTGAGGTTATCCACTGAACAATGAAAGTATAGCAAACCATTCTCTCAGGCAGTAGAGTTCACAGATGACTTATGGCACTATGTAGAGACATCCCTGCCCAGAGAGAACAAAATTAATTAAGGTATTGAAAATAGTAATTAATTTAACAGTCTAAGGAAACTGCAGTGAGCTTTCAATTTTGCACACTGTATTTTAACCAGTTTAAAGATTACCAAAGCTAATTTTAAACCCACAAGTGGCTTCTTTCAACAGTGATTATGCTTATCAACTCTCTCCAAGAGGTATGACAGTAATGGAGGTAAGTTCCAGGATACAAACTAATTTTGAGCAGAGCACGTTTAGAAAGTTGACCTACTACAGCACTAAATCACCTAGCATTTTCCAAGGCCAAGTTAAAATGAGTTTTTCACTTTTAACTAGTGTCTGGGATTATCCATGCCAGTAGCTCTGTGGCCCCCTTGATTAATCCAGAATTTTCTGTCCTGCTCTGTTTTCCAGCCTCTGCAAGCACGTATGTGCCGACGGTGTGCAACGGGCGGGAAGTCCTAGACTCCACCACGTCATCTCTGTGATTGTGAATTGCAGTTCAGTTCTCGTGATTTTAGGCTGTTAGATGAAAGTGCTCACGTGCAGCTCCGGAATGTGGAAACAGAGCAAAAGAACACCCCTAGTACCTTTTTTTAGAAACAGTACAATAAATTATTTTTAAGGACTGTACAGTATATAGTGACGTGCTAGAACTTTTTAGACTGATTTTAGTGTCCCTATTATTAACAAGTCCCCAGAACATGGAAATAACCATTGTTTACAGAGCTGAGCATTGGTGACAGGGTCTAACAGGGTCAGTCTATTAGAAAATACAGTGGCGATATTAGGTAACTTTTTTTCCTATGAAGTTTTTTGTAGGTCCTTGTTGTAACTAACTTAGGATGAGTTTCTATGTTGTATATTAAAGTTACATGATGTGTAACAGGTTGTTTTTCTCAGCACAAAGTAAAAAGCATCTGTATTAATGCAAAGATATTGGGAATAAAACCTTCAAGGTTTTCCAGCATGGTGGATAATGGCTTGTACTTTTTTTTAATCATTCCAGGTAATTTGAGTATGTTGACTTTAGACCATTTCTACTTTTTTAATGTCGGAAGAAATGATCTAACCGTGCTTCTCTTCACATCTAGATACACTGAACACAAGTTGTTACCCTACGAGGGAGCTGTGAGCAGATGTAGCCTTCTTTGCAGATTGCATGATCAGAATTTGACTGAGGACAGCATAAATATCAGGGGATCACAGTGGCCAGATGATAATACCCTTGTTGGTTTCTTTAAGCCACATCTGTACGGCAGCCCAGATTTTGCCCAAATATGGCTCTGAGGCAAAGGAGAGAGGGTTCCTCCATCCCTGCATTCCTCTGATTGCAGAGGCTGACCTGCCAGGGGAGGTTTGATGGCTCTCATTTCCCAAAACAACCTTAACTACTAGCAAGGAGCCTGGGGAAGCATCTTGTTATTCCATTGGAAAATCACCCTCATGGTTCATAGCTGAACGTAGCAACAAAAATGTGGTACATCTTCTTTTCCAATGCTTTTCCAAAGTCCCAAGAACAATGCTCAGGCATACAGACTCATCTCTAAACCTGAATATTTTACTAACCTAAATAAAGGAGCAAACAGGGAAAGCACGGATAAGCTAAAACTGGCTCATTCTTACCAGCACTGTCCTTTTTCTCCTGGTAAACGCTTGAGTCACGAACCATTGATTAATGTAGAAAACTTCGCTGAGTACCTATCTGGTAGGTCCTGCACCAGATACCATGGACAGAGAAGGTATTCGCTTCCTGTTAACTCATGTGACAACTTAACACGAACTGGGTGGCTTAGAACAACAGAAACTGACTCATCAGGGCTGCACCCTCTTAGCTGCAGGGGAGAATCCATTCCATCCCTCTTCTAGTTTCTGGTGGCTGGCAGCTTCCTGACATCAAATCAGTCTAATCTCTACGTCCACCTTCATGTCACCTTCTCCTCTGTGTGTCTCTTATGAGGACACTTGTCATTGGATTTAGGGCCCACCGGGATAATGCAGGGCGATCTCATTTCAAGATCCTTAATGACATCTACAAAGGCCCCTTTTTGAAATGAAGTACCATTAGGATGTGTACGTATCTTTTAAGGGGCCACTCTTCAACCCACGACAGAGAAAAAGATGATTCACACATAGTTCTTGCCTTTAAGAAGCAACAAGACTGGAAAATACGCTCATGAGGGAACTGCAACTGAGGAAGGAAGAAGAGGCTATGAGGGACCCACAGGCTAAATAACCAGGGCCTGGTTAACCAAGACTGGTACTACATTGAAAATATTCAGAAATAATGAGCAGGTGCATAAAAGCCAACAGGACTGGCCTGGAAGGAAATAAAGTGAGGAGTCCTATGTTAGAAATTCTCTTCTTCCTTCTGGATGCATTTGAATCAGCATCCTCATCAATGTGTCCAAAACTCACCAGATGCTCAAAGACCACAATGCAAACAGTCTCTAAACTCTCATATTCAAAGAAGAACCTGGACTGGGGGGGAGTGGGTGGGGCAGACTTAGTAACAGGTTCAACAGCACTAGATGGCAAAAAAGAAGTCTGTTGGCCTTCCCTGGTGGCGCAGCGGTTGGGAGTCCGCCTGCCGATGCAGGGGACACGGGTTCGTGCCCCGGTCCGGGAAGATCCCACATGCCGCGGAGCGGCTGGGCCCGTGAGCCATGGCCGCTGAGCCTGCGCGTCCGGAGCCTGTGCTCCGCAACGGGAGGGGCCGCAACAGTGAGAAGTCTGTTGTGACAGAAACTGGCAGGACTGCTAGATAAGTGTGCTCAGAATGAGCATCTGCTCAATATCAAGGCAACGGCAAGGCTGATGGAGAGAAAATAAACTCGATCCACTGATGGGATGTGACAGGCTAAGGAAGGCAGTATCAGTTGGGTTGTTCAGAGACACAGCTAATGCCTAAAGTAATCAAACGGATCATGGATCTTTGTAAACAAGACAATTGGGCTGTGGGTGAATCCTGAGTGGGTGTTTCTGAGAGCTGGGTTTCGATCTATGGCCGCTCTATTTCACTCACTGCCTTTGCACTGAAAGTGCATTGACCGACAGCTCTCATCACCTTTTTCTCCCCTGCCTCGTACCGTGTTTCCTATTCAAAAGTGCATCCCCTAACGTGTGATCCCTAGAAGTAATTTTTTAAGGAACTTGCAGCATCTGTATGGAAAATAGCAGCTATAAAATCTTTTTCACATGAGGCATTTCAAACAAATAGGTTTTGGATTGATTCTTTTTTAACTCCAGTAATGACATTTCATTCTCTCAGAATATAAAACTCACTAAGCCAATCCATCTTTGCAAACACATCCTGAATTTAAGGAACTCAAGCAGAATGCTCTATCCCACTCATAAAAAACATATCAGAACCTAATGTTATGGTTGATTATTGTTGGATTCCTGAGAGTTTACCGTTTCTGGAACGCTCCGTGTCCTCTCTAGTTCAAGTATTAATAGATTCTCTTGCGCACTCGGGCTTCTCATGGTAAAATAAAAGGTCCCATTTGCAAAGTGTGAGGCAAGCTGGTTTGCAGTCCACACAGAGGACAGATTAGGAGAGTGCCTGAAAGGAGTTAACTCAGCCAGTGTCCCTTTACAGTATGCACCCCACACTGCCCCTCAGCTCGCCCCCTCTTTATCCACGCACCCACCACTTGAGTTCTGGGTGCCAGAGCTCTTCAGCAAAGGGCTAGAAACGTGGAGAAGCCAAGAAAAGTGAGGCGCCAGGAAGATGGAACATCAGTATGGATTCTAACCTTCACAGCCCTAATAAGGCCCAAACCCATGAATAAGGCAGTTATCACTCCTGTTCTGTGACAAAAAGCTTAGATTTGCACAGTTGTCACTGGTTGGACTCATTCATTTAAGCCAAGCAATGGTAATCTGAAATCAGCCATCTGAGATAGAGGAAATATTTACTCCCCTCCAAACCAGATTTACCAATATCCACAAGCTATTTCAGACAGGGCTCTTCATCGAAGAGTCACTGTTCATAAGATGAGGAAAATTCCAGCAAATGAAAAGCCAAACTGGGACATTTCATTCAAGGCGACTGGAGGTCTGTTTCTTGAACCATCAATCACTGAAGGAATCCTATGTGTCTTCTGCAGCTCAGTCAGTCTTAAAATAGGATTTGGTAAATGTGTGTGGACTGAGGTGTGCGCAGCCTGAACACATGCAATGGACCCTCCAGGGCTGGCAGGGGACCCTCCTCCAGCGCCAGAGCTCAGCAATCTAGGCTGACACTATATGCATCAATATACACTACTTCCACATAGTTACTTGAAATACATCTGTACGTAAGATTGAATATTATCTCCAAGTCCAGTTACCTTAGCAACAAATGTTATAGAAACTACAATGAGAAAAGACTTTTAAATCAATTGTGCTGGTTGACTTTGAACCAATTCACTTGTTTTAGTTTTACCATTTCCTAATCAATACCCACAATCAAGTCCCAGAACTATAAAAGGATCTCAGAAGAGTACCTAGCTTGGTCACCTGGTGAGTGATTAAATCATCAAGGGAGGGGGATGGGTTATTTTTTTCTTGATGCTCTCTAGAGACTTGAGAAACTTTGAAGGTGTAAACTCCTCAAGGGCAAAAAATCTGTGCAAACAGATTCTTCCAAATAGTTTTGTTTGTGGGTTGTAGTGACTAAAACCAGTGGTCAATGAACCACGGCTCACAGGTCAAACCCTAGCCTAGCATCTGTTTTTATAAAACCTGTGAGCTAAGAATGCTTCTACATTTTTAAATAGTTGGGGGAAAAAATCAAAAGAAATGTAACATTTCATGACAAGTTTCCACGCACATAAAGTACATTTATTTTGAATGCAGCCACACCCATTTGTATATTGTCTGTGGCTGCTTTCATGCTACAATGGCAGAACTGAAGAGTTGCAAGAGACCACATGACCTGCAAAGCTGAAAATATTTACTATCTGACTCCTTCCAGAAAAAGTTTGCTGGCCTCTGATCTAGACAATTGCAATAGTAACATCAATTAATATCAATTGCAATAGTAGTATCAATTAATTTTTAATTATTCGCCCCTATCTTTTATTTCCTTCATTTATGACCCTAAAATGAACTCATATGAAAATGTTAAACCAAAATAAAATCCAGCAAGTGTGTAATCTCTGGCCACTTACTGTGAAGGTGAACTCCATTTTAGCATCCAAGGAATAAGTCAGGTGTTGGGATTTTTTTCAGTTTACTCCCCTTGAGTCCTTTTCTTTAGGGTGACCTTAATTTAGGACTTGGGCATGTAAACCTGAGATGATGTTCATGGTCAGTAGAAAACAGATGTGAGGATATGTAAGTCCTCTGAAGAAGTTCTACTCTATACATCTTCACTGTCAAAAGGTAAATGTCAGCAATACACTGACTTTAAACATGCCAATACAATGAAAAAAAGTAATGGAAAGTGTCTTGACTGTGTTGAGACCTGAGTTCAAAGATGAGGACCTTTGAGACAGAATCAGATCAAGGAATGGGCCAGATGAGGCAATTTATACTTTTCACCTGCTAAAACATCTGATTCTTCTGTATTGAAGAAATGTAAACTGGTCCTGTCTGCACTGAAGTAGACAGCACTCTTAAGTGATAATAAAAACTCTAATGCAACTGGAAACACCCATGAACAGATAAACAAAGTGTAATTCCACCATTCAATGGACTATTACTCGGCAATAAAAAATAACTACTGCTACCCACACCAACATGGATGAAACTCAGAATCATTATGCTGAAGAAGCCAGACATAAAAGACTACATTCCTGCCTGACTTCATTTATAAAAAGTCCAAACTAAGCTGTAATGGTTAAAAATCAAATCAGGGGTTGCCTGGAGGCTGGAGGTGAAAGGAGAAAGGAAGGCTATAAGAAATCTTTGGGTGTGGTGAAAATGTTCTGTATGTTGATTATGGTAGTGATGTAACAGGTATATAAAACTTTCAAAACTCGTATTGCACATGTTTAATGGATGGAGTTTATTGTTTGTATATCATTCCTCAGTAAAGCTGATTAAATACCACTCATGCAGACCTAAAAATAAATCAATCAATAAAATAAACTTGCCAATAAAATCATCTTCCCACCACGACTCCCAGGAAATTTACTTTCGTTAGGAAGAGAGAAATGATCTGCATATTAGCCTCCCATTAGGAATGACCACGAGTCACAGGAAGTAGCTCTACTGACACATGTCAGATGACAGTTGACCAGGTGTGTCTTGAAGAACTAGAGTCAATCCATGACCCACCACCTGGGAACCTGGAGACCCCAAATGGTAAATGACTAGACCCAAGCAATTGTTCAACATAACCATTTAAACCACCTTTTCTCTCCTGGGGAAGAAAATAATGACAAAAATCTACACAAAAATACTATGAAACATTTTTAATCCTGGAAAGGACTTGATCACTGGTAACCAAAGAGGGGAAAAGTCAACAAGAATAGAATCCAATCTTTTAAATCAATTGAACACATATCAAATTGCTCAACATCGTTAAATGCCATGATATAATTTATCCATAGAAGACATAGTCTCATTCAGTGGAAAGCTGATTTAAATGTTTTGACAGAGCGCTAAGAGATATTATAGGTAACAGCTGACTTAATGGAGTATTTAAGCCTTCAAAACTGCCTTTTAGAAAAATAACAAATAACTTCTTCTACCACTTAGAGGGGAAAGGAAATAACAACTGTCAGCTAAAAATCATAGAAACGTGATTAATTTGTTTATGCCTTTCAACATTCCACTGAGATCTGCAAAGGCAACACATAAAATTAAAGTGAGTTCTATAGCCAGGATTGATCTGAATATTTTCCTCACAATATTCCTTCTGTCATACTTCTTCAGTGCTTGGAATAAAATGACAACCCACTGGGATCCAAAGGAAAAAGTCAGCTCTTTCCAAAGATAGAACTGAGCTGCCAAAATCTATTTTATATCTAAAATTAGAAATAAAGTAAGTATATCCTTGAATACCAACTATATTTTCAGAGAGTTCATTAAAATTTAAGGCATTTTTGACACGTCAGAGATTTTAGTCCAGTGACAGGAGAATAAAGAAGCTACCTGGGAGCAAATCCCAATTATCTCTATGGCTTGGAACGTACACGTTGAGCACAGCAAAGATGAAGAGAGAGGTGACAGATGACTATGCGGAAACTTCCTGACTCTGTCCAGTCTGTATGACTTTGCCAGGGTTCCTCTAAAAGGGTGCACTTCAAGTGTATTTTCTTTCTTCTGTTTAAATTTTGATCAAGGTGGGGAAAGGGTCATCAGCACTGTTGGCAGGATAAAAATGAGCAATGCCAAAATAATTTCTTCGTTATAATAGAATTTAAGAAATTAAACGTGGAAGACGTTTATGTAAAGCAATGCCCTCCGTGAATTTCACAACAAACAATAAAACAACGGCAACCTCACCTATACTCACGAATCCAACAGTAGTGATGTACACAAAACAAACATTCACTCAACAATAACAGAATGGTCCAGTGTTTTACCCACCAGTCAAATAAATTCAATTATTTATTTTTATCTCATTTGCCACAAAACTAAGGACGACCTGCTGAATCAAAAGTTACAAGTCATACCTCATTGACAGACTTGGGGCAAAACATTCAACAAACCCTGCCCCTATGCCCTGCCTCTCTCGGCCAATGACCAGGCTTTCAAAAAATATGGATTAAAACCTATAAAGATCACTGTTTATTGGAAACAAACCAGAGCACCTTAGATTATAAATGGTCAGGAAACTCCTCTCTTTCCCACTTCTAAAACAATTTTTACACAAAATTGGTCAAATCCAGCTTCATTCAAACTTCTTTCAACCAACAGTATTTAAGTCGCACTAATACCAATATAACCCGTCCATCATAGGAAATATCACAATTACCTGGATCATTTTTGAATAAGAGCAGCAACACTTATTTCATAACTGCTTATGGGACACAACCACATTCTTATTCTGAATACAGTTATATGCGATTTTCTAAAATTCAATCCCTGCCCTGCTAACTTAAAAAGAAAACCTTCATGGAAGTCATAATCCTTAAAGTCTTTGGCAGGAAAATAAACATATAACCTTTGATGCTTGACATAGGGTAAATGTCCCACTGTCGTTTTCTGGAGACCATGAAATTATCCCAATACCTTTGTACAGCTGTCTGTACTTATAGACAAGCCAGCCCACTTTCTTCTCATGATTTTGCAAGTGATCTGATAAACAAGCTTTCCTACTCATTCTAAATTATACTTCAAGTATTACATAAATTCTTTCAAGCCATTTGACTTTTATAATGGTGTCAGCTTGTTTGTACCAGTGGAAAGTCAAGGCTTCTCCTTATCCTTTTTTTTTTTTTTTTTTTTTAAGAATCCCACTTTCAGTCAAGCCCTTCTTACCAGTTCCAACAAGGATGGGATTTCAAAGGCGATTATAAGTTAGATAACCCAAGCACATGCTGACTCTTCATTAAGAATTACTGCTTACTTAGGCTTCTGAAATCAACAAGGATACCCTATGGAAAAATGAAAAATCTATTGTCTTTCTTTGTTCACCATTTTTAATAGAAAACATGTTTTAAGGTCTGTCAGGAAAATAAATAATGGGAAAAAATAACTGTACCTTAAAAATTTTTTCAAATGTTCCCCAAAATATAAACAAAGAAAAGACATAAATGGGATCACAATGCATATGCTCACATCAGCCCTCCAAACACACTTTTTGTATAGAATTCATAAAGAAGAAAAGTTACCCATTAATTATATGGCATGCATCAGCAGTGCACTCGTGGGCTTAGCCTTGGTTTTGAGTTATTTGTATATACAGATAAATCTCTTCCTGAGTTGAGCTTCATCTTCAGTTGAGACTCAAAACATTTGCTTTCTTATTTTTGGCAAGACACTTGACCATGTTATAAGGCAATCTAACATTTCAACCTCCTTCCCTTTTCAGCGGCATGGCCCTCCTCTGTGACATCACCAATGTGCCGGATATGAGGACAGGCTCTAAACTATGGTCCTGTAAAACTAGAGAGCAGGTTTCTTTGTTCATTAGTCTGAAGGCTACAGCACTGTCTTTCATATATTGGGAGATCTTGAGGATTTCAGTTGAACAGATTCAAAATGGTCTTCTTTGTCCTATGGGGGAAAAAATATTAAGATAAAATCAACTCACTAAAATTCCAATAAGATTTTAGGAGATTACATATCCAGAAACTAAGTTCTGAAATCATTTTAATCTACATACCTGCCACTTGTAATTAGGATTTTACATTTAAAGGAGGGTGGCAGGTATAAAACAGATAGCATGCCTACCCTGAATGATGCCTTTTTTTTTAAACTTTTTATTTTATATTGGAGTAGAGTTGATTAACAATGTTGTGTTAGTTTCAGGAGTACAGCAAAGTGATTCATTTACACATATACACGTATCTATTCTTTTTCAGACTCTTTTCTCATTGAGGTTGTTACATAATATTGAGCAGAGTTCCCTGTGCTATACAGTAGGTCCTTGTTGGTTATCCATTTTAAATATAGCAGTGTGTACATGTCAATCCCAAACAGATGTCCAGGGGATAAGACACACAATTCAAAACAGAAGCAAACACATGACTGCAACAGATACCAAAAGATGAAGCTGTGATTCTTGTGAAGAAATCACTGAGACCCATGCAAGGGGGATATTTGATCCGGGTGCTGAAATAGATGACCTATCCATGCAAATTGTAGACAGTAAACTAAATATTCTCAAGATAACACAGGGTAAATAATAAGAAAAAAGGAGAGCAGAAATAAAGATAACACCAATAAGACACAAGATCATTTGGGTCCACTGATATGTTGGAGGAAAATCTTTGGGAATCATGCCTACTAAAGATATTAAAAAGAAGTCATCTAGGATAATACATCAAAATTTTAATGCAAATATATCATTGCTGGCATTTGTTATATAATACATTCAAAATGTAGCCTGTTAAGATAAATTATTCTTCTTTAATGGGGAAAAAGAGAAATAAGAGGTGAGGTTTCTCCCAATGTTTTCATGGTTAGACAAAGCTTTCCGAAGGCTGTTGGAATGGGGTGGGGGAACTATGCTGTTGAAGGGAATAAAGATGAACAGAACTAGGATTATTTTAAAAATAAAAGAAATATGAGGCAGATCAGTCCTGGGTGCACATGGATGTGTCTCTAAAGCAGAGAAGTGAAATGAGAAAACAACAGGAAATAGATATTGAGTATCTGTCAGGAAGAATGAGGTTGCTGTTGTGTCTTCTCTCATTTGAGTGGAGAAATCAGAGACTTCAGATCAATTTAAGGCCACATGGTCAGGATTACAGAAAAAAAAATCACAGCATGAACACCAGCATATCCCATGTCCCTGCCTCTACCGAGACGACAAGCCCCTGAGAGAGCAGCCTGCAGATCGCAGCGCCCGAACCCACTGGCTCTGCGAGAGCCTGCCTGAAGTCTCATGTTCACCAGCCTTAATTTTCTAGGAATAACCATCGATAATTCAAGTATTTATTAGGCACCCATGTGTTACAGGAACAGGACTAGACTTTATGGGATACAAAACGTCTGCTCTCAAGGAGCTCACAGTGTATTACAGGAAAGAGTGTTAGAGTATCAGCCATGAACTATAAGAGAAAGCTGAGCTTTCTGTGGCCCTGCCTTGAGACGATTTGATTCAACTTGTTCTTCAGCAAGGGCAGGCAGAGACCTGTTGCTTATCCTCAAGGTAATATTTCAATTAAAACACTGAAAACAGTCATGCTAATTAGGGCTTCATAGGGCTTTCGTTACCATCTCCTCTGTGTTCTATGTTCACATGGGATTTTGCTCCTATGGCTGATGTGGTAGGATATATACCCACGCACGCGCGCTGACTGGGACTTCCTAACGGCAGGAATTGTATCTTGTTCACTTTTTAATTCCCATAATATGACCCAAGGCCTAGCACATGGTTGGCTGTCAATCAGTGGTTGTGAAAATGTACTGAAACACCACCATGCAGAAGGAAAAAACCTGGATTGGAACTCAGAATACGTGGTTTCTAATTCCCACCTCACCCACTCTTGGACAAATAAGTGAACCTCTCTAGGTCTCAGTTTACTCATGCATTAAATAAAGATGCCATATAAAATGATCTTTTTAAACTCTAAATTCAAGAATCTACTCAAAATCCAACTTCTCCCAGAAGCTTCTCCTTAGCTTGTCACTACCCACCTAACTGTACTCCATTCTCTTCTGTACTCCAAGAGACCCTACTCAATACTCTTGTCATACCGGATTATCCTGTGTACGTGGGGTGTGTGTGTGCATGAATGTGTGTGTTTGATGTGCATGTGTCTTCCAACAATAAACTAGTCTCTGAGATTAACTGTGTCTAATATGACATCTCACCAAAACCCGGTGGATAGTATCCCATAAATGACTGTGACATGAACAAAAGGAAAAAAATCAACTGAAGGTATTTTTTAATTGTTAAGAAAAGTCAAGTGAAGTAAATCTATAAATGAAACCCCACAAATCCAGTGCATAAGGAAATACCAAAGAAGTATGGCCTTTAGAACATGAATAAGGATATATATAAGACAAAGTAAACCTTACTTGACACAGTAGTTAAGAAATTTATAAAGTTTTTTGCTCCATGAAATCATATGGAACATTTTTAAAAGTGGGACACACATAAAAAAAATTTTAAAATAAAAAGTAAAAAAACTTTTAAAAGTGGGACACAATAAAACTTGTACAATGGCATTCATAGCAGCTTTATTCAGTCAAACACTGGAAATAGCACAAGGGTCCATCAAAAGGAGAACAGATGAACAAACGTGGCAAATCCATACAACAGAATACTCCTCCACAGGGAGCAATCTGCTATAGATAAACACAACAAGGTGGAAGAATCTCAAAAAGATTTTTCTGAGTGGAAGAAAACTTACACAAAAACTACACTCTCTGGCATTACGATTATGTGAAGTTCTGAAACAGGCCAAACTAATCTATAGTTTTAAAAGATCATCACAATAGCTTCCCTTGGGGGATGGGGATTGAGTATACACATAAGGACATGAGTTTACTTTCAGACATCAGACTACTGTTCTATATCTTCACAGGATTTAGGGTTACACAGGTATATTCATTTCTCAAATTTCATCATATCGTGTATTTGTGAAATATACATTTCACTCTGTGTAAACATTCTGCCTTTAAAAAAAAACTTAAAATATTGAATTCTCTCATCAATTATATGTAAACTGAAGTGTTTAGGCATCAAATGTATTGAAGTCTGAAACTCACTTTGAAACACATCAAAAAAAAGAAGATAGATCAATAAATGGATAGAGGGATGGAGAGATATGTAATAAAGAGTAAGATTTATGTGGTGGATATATGGTTGTACCACTGCACAATCCCTTCAATTTTTCTGTAATACTTCAAATTTTCATCTTAAAAAATGAAAACAAAATCATTACATTGACTAAAATTGCTATTCAAAATAAAATGTGGCACACTGGGGACTTCCCTGGTGGCGCAGTGGTTGAGAGTCCGCCTGCCGATGCAGGGGACACGGGTTCGTGCCCTGGTCCGGGAAGATCCCACATGCCGTGGAGTGGCTGGGCCCGTGAGCCATGGCCGCTGAGCTTGCGCGTCCGGAGCCTGTGCTCCGCAACGGGAGAGGCCACAGCAGTGAGAGGCCCGCGTACCACAAAAAAAAAAAAAAAAAAATGTGGCACACTGCACCTTCTCAGGGAAAAAAGCTCTACCCTCCCTGTTTCCTGTGACTGTTTTCAAGAATCTTTTCAAGCTTTCACTTCTCTGGCTATAATATAAAAACAGAAGAGGTACTGTAAGAGGAGGAAACACTTAATGTTTTAGGTAGTGCTCATAATGCCCACTTATTCTTTTAGATTCAGCTCAGAGATGACTTTCCCTTAAATGCATTCCCTGGCACCTAAAGGCTCCCTTCATTGTAAGATACCACCCTTACAAATAGGGAATCAAACACATATATATGGAATCTAAGAAAAAAAAAAAGGTCATGAAGAACCTGGGGGCAAGATGGGAATAAAGACACAGACCTACTAGAGAATGGACTTGAGGATATGGGGAGGAAGAAGGGTAAGCTGTGACAAAGTGAGAGAGTGCCATGGACATATATACACTACCAAATGTAAAATAGATAGCTAGTGGGAAGCAGCCACATAGCACAGGGAGAGAGGGGTGGGATAGGGAGGGTGGGAGGGAGGGAGGGAGACGCAAGAGGGAAGAGATATGGGAACATATGTATATGTATAACTGATTCACTTTGTTATAAAGCAGAAACTAACACACCATTGTAAAGCAATTATACCCCAATAAAGATGTTAAAAAAAAAACAAAAACAAATAGGGAATCACAAGATCACACCAGGTGAGAAGTCTAAGTCAACTTGTGATGGAAGATAGTTTTTCATGGGCCTCCTGCGTTTCTGCAAGTCTTATGAAAAGACACTGACAGTCCTTTATTCTAGGTGATTTTCCAAAGATGTTTCTATAACAGCCTTGGATGATATAGATAAAGTCTCCTTCTAGAATAAAGGAAACGTTTGCTTACAACCCAGAAAGCTACAGATATTGTCATTCCCCGTGGAGCAAATGGCAGACATACGTCGGGCCCATTATAAAAGACTCATGTTCTCCAAGCCAGTTCCTCTACAATAACATAACCCACTCTGTATACAGGCGTCATCTAGTCCACTTCATTGTGTGGGAAGTGAGGCTTGAGGAACCAATACAAATGCTGTGATTTTGGCCAATGCTAATGCTGTGAGTAATGAGCTGTGTTTTGTCTCTGACCCAGAAGACTCATTCCATCTTCCAAAGTGTCTATGAAACTATGGCGGTCTGATCTGTTGGCCAGTAAGTAGAGTGCGATTTCATTACCTTCACAGTTCTTCGTTGTTTTGCCGATGAGAGGAGGAAGTTAATGAAGACATTTCTAGAAGAGAGCTTCACACTCTGGTTAACAAGATTTAAGGAAAGTCCCTGAGAATTGGGAACAGACATGCTGACCACACTATATGGCAAACAAGGCAATAAAACAGTCCTCCGTTTTCTTGCCTGGAAATGAAGAGGAACTGGGGAGCTGGTTGT